AAAAACACAAACATCATTACAAGACTCAATTTTGTTTGTTTGAACACTTTCAGATCTGTTCTTTATTCCTTCAATACTAAGCCATTAACCCGACTTTTTTTTTTTCTTTTTACTTGTATCGATTATATATATCAGCGAGTTTATCTATCGTTCTTGGCACTTACGTTTCGAGAAAGCAGCTTACGGCTATGGGATAAGGTTCTATCGCACTACTGACATTTCTTGGAGGACATACACATGGAACAACGTATGGCGATGAGAGCCACAAAAGTTGCTGCTACGAAGTAATTTAGTTACAGTTACAGTTACTCGGATTAACGTGCATTTTAGTTCATTTTGAAAAAAATCTTTCGGCAAGTTTCGCATATTGAACTTACTTACAAAATAACTTAGTTAAAGCTTCTAATTATTCTCGCTAATCCCCCCACAATCTTAATTTACTCTCAATCTCTAAATACTTCCCAAATATATGATGTCGAGATGTCCTGCGGCTGACCTCATACCGTTTGTTTGCCGACAAAGAAAAGATGCGATCAATTCGGTGATCTGCTCAAAACAGTGTGCGGAGAAATGTCAACACGTAGCATCAATGTTGAGACGAAATCATTCTTAACCTCTGCGTTTGTCACCATAATTTGATCAGTATAACTACAATGGGGGAGTTATCACGCTTACTAAAATATCATCGTGTACTAGAGAATGTACTTGGTTACCTAAACTTTGCTACACTAACTTCGATTATTTTAATCTTTTTTTAGCCTTGCAGATGGCCTTAAGCGCATCTAGCACGCACATTGTGACAGTTCAACATCATGGCGATTGTGTAATGCATATGAGAGTGGATTACGCCAATGAAGACAGGCGCACGCTAGCCTTCATCTCAAGAATGGCCAATTTTACGATTCAATCATCATACTTAGCTTACTGCACAATATAAAAAAAAAGGCGAGCATGTATATTTCCCTTTTTGAATCACTCTGGAATCTATAGTAGGTGACTAATTCATTGAAGGTTCGAGGGAAGCCCCACCTTTTTCCACTTCATCAGAGCGAATGCTGGAGAGGAGGTCCCCTCTTTTCCAGTGATCCCTCTGCCAAAGTGGAAAGCGGCGGGATAAGTTTCCCCTGAACCGTCAGCTTGCCACATACTATAGTAATTAATCAATCAATCAATCAATCAATCAATCAATCAAATCTTTATTCAACATTGCACAGATGTTGGGGGCGCAGACAAAATGCCTATAAAAGGCTTGACTAAGGGTCTGCGCCCCAGTAAGGGTGCAGCATTTATCAGCCAAAAAGAAAGCTTCACAAAAAGGTATTTTTCTTCGGACTCAAGACCGCCATCAAAGTTTGAAATCTGTGGAAGTGAATTGAATGCATCGTGACTTCAATATATCCGCAAATATTAAAATATTTTTTTTACTTCATGCGTACAGTTAATTGCACACAATTTTAAGTTTTTTTAAATATGTAATTTGCCTACGATGCCGTGCTCATCGCATTATTTCTCGAAAACGTATTTAAATCAATGACGATGTTCCACATTTTCACTTTCCAAGTTGTTAAGTAACGAAGGATTTTGTTAGAAATAAGTAAGATTTGTTTTAGAAAAGTCTATCTTTCTACAGCTGCGTCGGCATTTTTTTTTTATCTGCCTTTGTTTGTGGGTGCATTTTTGGGCGTCTTCCGCCCCCAGGCGCGGGGGCCTTCGAGCAGCCGCCGGGCTCGGTGGAGAAGAGTCGGACCCCGGTCGTTAAGAAACGTCTCGGGTTTCAGTTTGGGGCGCCGGAACACCCCTGTCTTGGGCTTCTGTCCGCACTTGTGGCTTTTAAGCGGGTGTGCTTGTGTCTGGGCGTAATTCGCCGCTTAGTGTAGAAAACTTCGCTTTTAGTCGACGCAATAGCTTAACTTGGTGGCGCCAGTCAGAGGGCGAAGAAAGCATATAGTGACTCTACAAAGAATTTGGGTTTGACTGTTGAGGTGTCGGAGGGGGGGTCACGTTGACAGCTCGCTCATCATTGGGTAAGAGTGTACCAAGTGACAACGGGCAAATTTGAAGTGATTGGTCCGTCTCTGGAGGGAAAGGAGGCCCCTACGAGTCTAGAAAAGGGCTGCAGAGAGGATTCTCAGAGACTCGGCTTTTGAGATCAGGCAGATTCGGCTCTTGAGACTGGGGGACTAAAGTATGGGTTTTAATTTTGGGAGTTTTGTCATGTAAATTACTGTTGACTTGTTGTTTTGTTTTGAAATAAACGTGGCCACACTGGCCACCGTAAACCAACCAACGTCGTAATATGTCCAGCGGGATCGAACAACTTTTAGTTGTTCGATCTTATTTCTTATTCGACTTCCCGGGGGGCTTGCATCGGGCGAACATGATCATTGGTCGTCACCATCCTGACCGGCCCCCTCTCCCCACGGAAAGTTGACTTAAGTGAAAGCTAAAATAAATAAAAATAGAATTTTTCTTTCTATACCTTCTACCGTTTGGTTCTACCAAACGGTAGAACCAATGAAAAATAAATAAAGAGTCTACTATGACCAAAAACGGAAATTTTGATTTAAAAGAAAATCAACAAAGAAAAATGGGGAGGCAGCGAAACTACTCAATCGGCTACGGGCTTGTGTTTTGTCAGTGGGTTTTTATCGAGTATAACGTTGACTTCGTTAAATACTTCCCGCCCTCAAAATTTGCCACCGTCGCCCGGCTAGCTCAGTCGGTAGAGCACGAGACTCTTAATCTCGGGGTCGTGGGTTCGAGCCCCACGTTGGGTGTTCTTTTTTTGTTTTCTGGCTCTTTCGACATTGCGGAACAAAAAATGGCGCAAAAAAGACAAGGCGCTAACTTTCAACTAGTTTTATTCAGGAAAAGTAAACATATATATACACGCGACAGGCAAAGGAGCACCACGCAAAAGTTGATTAGTTCTTTTCTCGATCACTCAAAAGCTGAAATTCATTACAATGACGTACAATAGAAGTGTCGCTGACACGTGCCATCCCACTTTTTTGATAAAAAAAGCTTCCAATAGCTCTCGAGCGACCGTCTCTCGGCTTCTCCCTAGTATCCGTATCTGCTGAAGTCGCGGAACGTAGCCATACGTGTTGCAATGTATTGGCAAATGCGAGGCCGAGGACAAAAAGACCAGAAGTTATTCTGTACATTCACAAGGTTGCCCACAATCCGAAGAAAGTTGCAAGCAAGTACGACGTTCCCGTTGTGTTCTCTGCCCCAAAGAAGTTGGCTGGGTTGTGCTCCCGCATTTCAGATGAGAAGGCAAAAGCGCCATGTGTTAAGAAACACGTCACCCCTTACGTGGACTGCACAGTGGGTGTGGTCTACGAAATCCCACTGAGTTGTGGAAAGGTATACATTGGCCAGACGGGGCGGTGCATCAATGACCGAGCACGGGAGCACGCATTATCGGTAAAAAACAAATATGGCTCGCATTTGCCAATACATTGCAACACGTGTGGCTGTGTTCCGCGACTTCAGGACATACGGATACTAGGAAGAAGCCGAGAGACGGTCGCTCGAGAGCTATTGGAAGCTTTCTTTATCAAAAAAAGTGGGACGGCATGTGTCAGCGACACTTCTATTGTTCTTCATTGTAATGAACTTCAGTTTTTCAGTGATCGGGTGAAAATTTAATCAACTTTTACGTGGTGCTGCTTTGCCTGTCGTGTGTATATATATGTTTACTTTTCCTGAATAAAACTAGTTGAAAGTTAGCTCCTGTCCTGTATACTTCTTGTCCTTGTCTTTCTGTAGCGCTATTTTATATGTTTTACTAAGATGAATTAACTAGCCCAACAACGTACCCTACTAGTTTCCAGCTCTTGGACTCTTTTTGTTAATGATTCTAAGTTATCCTTTTGGGTGATATGATTCTGTAAAAGCTTATTGGTGGAATCAAGAACACTTGCATTGATCTCAGGCCGTTTCACCACATTAGTCACAAGATCAAGCTTAGCCTCCTGTTCCTTCGTCAGTGGACCAGGATTTGCCTCTATATCACCAGTGAGCAAAAGGAGACCCCAATGATAAAGCACAGTCGCGCGAACACGTTTCAAGAAATAGGATTGCCACGACCATGACCAGATGAACCCAAAGTAGAGTTTGAAATGTTACCTTCTATCATTTTGTTCTTCTCTCTTCCACGTTGGATTCTTCTCGCTCTCCATCCACGTCTCAGGCGGCTTAAAAGAATGGTAAATTCACACCAACTCGACTGCACCACCACTGTTTTAACGATATATCTACGTGTTTTTTTAATGAAATATAAAACTTATATGAGTTGGCCATTGTGAGAAGATGCTACACTCTTCTTGTACAAAAAAAAAAAAAAGGAAAGAAGAAAGAAACGCTAAATTAAACACAAGCGTAAAGATGGGCGGGAACAGGAACGGCTCCCCTTGTCCTCTTTCGGTCTATGTCCTCTTTCCTGCGTTTATTTCGGCGTTGGTTTGTTGCACAAGCACCAACTTTTTAAAGATTTGTTGCCAGAATGTTTTAGTGCGTAAAGAGACTCGTAAAGGCAAGCATGTTTTCAACACACAGGCCGTGCTACGGCCAACTCTGAATGAATAAAAATATCTTAATGCTACCAGCCCGTCGGCGACTGGCCACCAATCCGGTACATCTCTCAGACCCCGATACACTTCTTGTATTTGTATGGTTCTCTGATAAAACTACCGACACGCAGGCTCTACATTTATATCGGCATGCCGCGCACTGCCATGCATGCGGCTCTTCCAGATACTGCGTTAACGAAGTAGCACAATGAAATCATGCGACACAGAGTCTGTCAATTCAACTGGCAGGAAGCGTACCCCGTGCTCAATTCATTAAAGGTTTTTGTTTTTTTCACAGTACTCTGGAGTCCCAGTGAAATATTGAATCCCAAATGCACAAACAAAGTGGCACGACGCCACTTTGTTTCTCTTTGCATTACAGTAACAACATAAAAAAAATAAATAAAACTTAAAAAAAAATAATGTCAGGAGTGGGGTTCGAACCCACGCCCACAATTGTGGACCAGAAATCTCAAACCGTTGCTGAGACCAGGAATAATCCTTGAGTCTGGCGCCTTAGACCACTCGGCCACCCTGACAACGGACATCCCCTAATTTGTCTGAAAACTGACACCTGGCTTGTTTATAAATCAAAATATGAAGTAACATGTGTAAATGAACTCTAAAAAAAAAACGTAAAAGTGATGTCAGCGGCGTAATTCACACACGCCCCCATTTGTGCACCGAAACTTTCTAAATTAATGCTAGGAGCGCAATTAACAAACCTTGAAACTCAACTCTTGCGCATTATAACGGTCGAATACTTTCCCATATAAAATTATTTCCGGTAAGGTAACCTGGTCTGTGACAGTGTTTGCATGACAAGGCAACAGTGACCAACTACACATACAACTAAATTCAAGTGTGTCTTCAAAATGAATCCCTGCTTCCCTACTTAAAAAAGAACACAAAAAACGCATGTCCCATAGGACCCATATATTAAAATAAGATCACAAAAACTACCCATATGTATAAATTTTAAATATTAAGTGGATTTATCAGCGGACATTACAATTTTAAGTGGTCTAAAACACTTCCCCATATCTTATAGGTGTATTTGTTTATTTTATCATATTTATTTGTTTCCTTCCAACATGAACGCCAGAAAACCATCAAGTTGTGCGGACCACCTGCGGACTACGTTCAGTGCGTCTTCAAATTCAAACGGCCGCATGATCGTTCGAACTAGCGTCTGCTCTTTCAAACGTTTCTGCTTGTCGTCTGCTCTCTTAGACGACGCCGGTCCGTAGAACAAATGTTTACCCGGTACTTGCTATAAGAAGCAAGTGCAGGCCTCAAAAGACTTAAGTGTGAAAGTTGGTAAGCAGGCTCGGTGTAAACAGTAGATACAAAAAAATGTTGATCATTGTTACTATAGTGTCCTAAGGACACGAAGGAGGGGTCGACTAGTCCATTCGAACATTGAACGATAAAGCGTTTTTAATGCGAGTCATAGGTTGCCAGATCACGTTATGGTATGTACAGTGTTGCCAACATAAAGGCAGAACACAACATCATCCCCCCTTGAAAAACGAAACAACTAAGCGAAAAATGGCTAATTCATATGAAAGTCTTGCAGACGGGAGGGACGCCGTCGTTCTCTTGTCGACGGTCCTCTGCGAAATCCGTTCGTCCACGTCGTTCCTTGAGCCTGTGTAGGCGCCGCAGAATCTTCCAGTCGATGTCTAACAACAGGACATTCATCTTGTGACACTTGTACCGGTGACGTCAAAACTTCCCGACGTTGTTCTTCAACGGAATCTGGTCCAATCGTAATTTGTATTGGCGTCGCCGAAGCTGTTAGGCGATGTTCCTCAACCGAGTCTGCGCCTCCAGAAACTTGCCATGGTGTTGCCAAAGCTTCGCTATTTTCCCCAACGGAGTATTCGCCTTGATTGTCCGAGACGGTTCTCCTGGCTGACTGTTCTTGATCTCCAGGAACGGGTAGCAAGTGTAGTAACCGTTTACTTCTTTCCGTGACGCACTCCTCAGGCACAGCCACCAGCTTGGAGGCATTCCAGCTGCGTCCGTCTTCTAAGCGGAAAGTGCCTGGACCCAACTGTTTCTGTATTTTCAGAGGTCGGGAATATGATAGCTCACCCTTACCACCACTTGTGGGTTTACGGACCCGTACGTAATCTCCCTCCTTGAATTTTGGAGTTTTGGCACTTCTTTTCGCGTCTGTATACTCCTTCGTCGAGCGCTGCTTGCTTTGGACACGAGCTCGTAACTTTTCCATTGCCGTGGCTAGCTCCTGCAGGAAGTTCTTTGACGGAAGGCCCATGATGTCAAGTCGGGTCCTTGGTTGGCGACCGTGGAGGAGCTGAGCAGGAGACACTCCTGTGGTCGAGTGTGGGGTAGACCGATATACGCCCAAGTAGTCCACGACGGCTTCTTTAAGCGGTCGTCCTTCCAAAACTGAAACTTGAATAAAGTTCTTCAGGCTCCTGTTGAATCGTTCGACCAACCCATTGGCCTGTGGGTAGTATACCGACGAGATACAGTGGTTGATTCCTCTTTGGTTCAGGAAGTCTTCAAAAAGCTTTGACTTGAACTATGGCCCGTTGTCTGTTACGTGTTCTTCCGGATAGCCCTCCCGACTGAACACGCCTCGCAAGAAATTTATCACCGCTTGTGACGTAACTGTATTTGCAAAACAAACTTCCGGCCACTTGGAATGATAGTCCACAAGGGTGACGACAAACTTAGGACCTGCGGTGGTCAGGTTCAGCGGACCCACGATGTCCATAGCCAGCTTCTGCCAGGGCTTTTCCGGGAGAGTAACTGGACGTAGTGGTGCCACGACCGGTTTGGCCGACTTGTCCGCTGATTGGCACACATGACAGCTTCGCACGGCACACTTTACCTGTCTGTCCATCCGGGGCCACCAGAACTTGTCTCGAAGTCTTTGTTTGGTTTTCACGATGCCAGGGTGTGCCTCGTGTGCAAAAGAAACCAAGTCCAAGGTCAGAGAATCCGGCACAACAACTTTGTCTTCCCTGAAGACTATGCCATCCACCATGGACAATTCTTCCCTAAGCTGGAAGAACGGCATCAGCTCCTGATTGAGCATCCTCTTTGCTGGCCATCCCTTCTCGAGGTACTTGGTCACTAGCTGTAGGGTAGGATCCTTGGCCGTTGCGACTTGCACTTGATCCTTGGTGATGCAAGATGACACCAAAGACACATTTTCTTCCTCCATCGTCAAACGTGAAAACAGCGCAAAAAATTTGAACAAAGGACAAGTGAAAGAAGTGCACGGACAAAGCGCTGACTGTCAACTAAAGTTTAATTTTCAGGCGAACCAGAAAAATAAACACAGAGCATAGGAAAGAACCAATAAAGACACAAAAAAATTTACAACCCAACCGACAAGATTTCCACCACGTCATCACCCTCACACATGCCTGCCATTCTCCCTGATAAAAAGGACCTCGATCATCATCCCCCAAGTGCACCGACGGTGCGCTCACACATTGCCCTTCCCCTTTAGATAAAATGAAAAATGCCTCATCAATCTCCCTGGCGGTCTTACTTTTATTGCGCGCCAAGATCGTCAAGTCATGAAAAACAGGTACGCAGCCGCACCTACTGCAATGTACCGCTAAGTGGCCAGCGGGGGAGGAACGGACTGAAAGGGAATGTTCCCTCGCCCTCTCGTTCACGCACCTCCCCGTTTGACCAATGTACACCCTACCACATGTGAAGGGGATCTGATACACAACCCCCACTGCGCATGGTACAAAAGGAGTGCGGTGGTTTACATCACATTGCAAATCATTGTTCCTCCCTCGGTTGACAGCGGTGCACAGGCGTGACAACTTCTGGGGTGCTGAAAACACCACTGGCACGTTAAACTTATGCGCCACTCGCTTGACCTGATGAGAGAGGGCGTGGAGATAAGGCACCACCACCAGTCTTGTTGTCGGTTTTTCTCTCCTCTTAGGACTGGGTCGGCCCCTGAACACCTTTATGAGGGACTCTGCCACGCCCACAATTAACGTAAGAGGGTATCCCGCCGATCTCAGCCTAGATACCTGAAGCAAAAGACTGTTCTCACACCTATGATGGCATGGCTTCAGCAGAGAAGCCCTCATACACCCCGTAGTAACCGCCCTCTTCACAAGCTTAGAGTGCGCTGAACCGAATGGAAGAACACCCGTCTTTTGAACGTGGCTCATAGGACCAACATATATGCGACGGCTGCTTAATTAGCGTCAGGTCCAAAAACTGTAGTGCTCCTGCTGATGGTGTCTCGAACTTAAAGGATAAACTGGGGGAGCACTTCGTAAAGCAGGCCGAGAAATCCAAACTCGCGCCTTGAGGGCTCAGGCTCTGGTTGTCATTGTACAGCACTAGGTAGTCATCCCCATACCGAAACACTCTCAAAACCCGACAGCCCAAAGAGATTGCAATAGACCTGTCACACCTCGCCAGATATATATCACTGGGGACCGTTGCCAAACTCGATCCGATACAGATCCCACTCTTTTGCAAGTAAATTCCACTTTCAAATGTGACATATGTGGAGCTCAAGTAAAAACTCAATAATTCCAAAAAGGAATCCACCGCAACACCCGTCGAGTTCATGAAGGCAACCGAACCACTTGCCTCCATGCACTCTCCCACAGCTAGCATCAATTCATCATGAGGGATCGAATAAAACATGTCCTCAACATCGTAGGACACGAACTCACAGCCTCCCGGATTGTCTTTTTTTAGGAAATCCACAAGGGCATCAGAATTGCGAATGAGAAAAGGGTACATTGCAGTAGGTGCGGCTGCGTACCTGTTTTTCATGACTTGACGATCTTGGCGCGCAATAAAAGTAAGACCGCCAGGGAGATTGACGAGGCATTTTTCATTTTATCTAAAGGGGAAGGGCAATGTGTGAGCGCACCGTCGGTGCACTTGGGGGATGATGAGGTCCTTTTTATCAGGGAGAATGGCAGGCACGTGTGAGGGTGATGACGTGGTGGAAATCTTGTCGGTTGGGTTGTAAATTTTTTTGTGTCTTTATTGGTTCTTTCCTATGCTCTGTGTTTATTTTTCTGGTTCGCCTGAAAATTAAACTTTAGTTGACAGTCAGCGCTTTGTCCGTGCACTTCTTTCACTTCTCCTTTGTTCAAACTTTTTGCGCTGTTTTCACGTTTGACGATGTTAAACCAACCAGCCCAACTTACCGCCTTGTTGTTCTTCCTCCATCTCTGGCTCTGCTGCTGCCACCAAAGGTAGTCGGGACAGCGCATCTGCGATAGCATTGTCGCTGCCTCTTTAATAAACGATGTCGAAATTGCAGTAAAGGAGTCTCGCTGACCACCTTACAATTCGTAGTGGCCTCCTGCCGGAACCTCTAGACGATAACAGAGTCACCAGCGCCTGTTGATCCGTTCTAAATAGGAACCTTCGGCCCTAGAGGTAGATGTGCCAATGTTCACAAGCAAACAAACACGCCAACGCCTCCTTTTCCCCAGCAGAGTACCTGCGCTCGGTAGAAGTCAGTGACCTGGATGCAAAGGCCACAGTGTGTAGCTCTTGCCCAGCTTGTTGCTGAAGGACGGCTCCAAGGCCAGTGTTTTATGCGTCGGTGGTCACAACTACTGGAAGGTTAGGGCCGAACATCTTGATGACGGGACATGATGACAGAGCCTCTTTGATCTTCTCAAAACTTCTCTATGATGCGTCATCCCAAGTAAATGCCTGGCTTTGACGCAGAAGTTTCCTGAGAGGCTCGACCACATCAGAATAGTGTGGGACAAAACAAGAGTAGTAGCCTGCGAGTCCCAGAAACGACCGCAACGCCGAGACATTCTTCGGTACTGGTGCTTGAACGATGGCACCCATCTTCGAATGCGGAGGAGCGAGGCCCTCCTTGCCCACCACGTGTCTGAGGAAAGAAAGCTGGTCCACGTCGAACACGCCGTTGTCATTCAGTTGGAGTCCAGCCTCGGAAATGCGCCTCAGGACACGTCTCAGGTTTTCTTGGTGCTCGCTGGTCGTCCTCCCCCACACAATGACATCGTCGATGTAACAGAGAACCCCACTGCATCCTTTCAGGATGAGCGACATCATCTTTTGGAAGGCAGCCGGCGCTGATGCAAGTCCGAAACAGACGCGCTTGAACCTAAACAGACCATCGTGGGTGACGAAAATTGTTTTGTTAACTCGCGGCTGTCGGGCGTCAGTTCAACCTGGTGGTACGCAGATGCCAAGTCGAGCTTTGAAAACCTGGTAGCACCCACCATCTGGTGCAGCAGCTTCTCAGTATGGGGAAGTGGGAACCCATCCACGATGATGACTTTGTTTGGTTCCCTCAGGTCGACGCACAACCGGATCGTGCCGTCCTTCTTCCGAACCACGACAATGGGCGAGGTCCATTCCGCTGCATCCACCCGCTCGATGATGTCAAGACGTTCCAACCGTTGCAACTCTTCAGACACCTGTTCGCGCAACGTAATGGGCAATCTGCGTAGCTTCGCAGCGACTGGCTTCACCGATGCACGCACCTTGACTTGATGAATGAAGCCCTTGGCCAGGGGTGCTATGTTGCGCTTTTTGGACTCCCAGGAGACTAGGGAGAAGGAAGTGACGTCAACGACACAGCAAACGCAGATTGGATGTTGACTGAAGAAAACAAAATCAACACCCAATCTGCGTTTGCTGTGTCGTTGACGGCAAACTCCAGCAAACTCCTTCAGCTCTCGCTGAGTCTGTTCGATATGCCTGCCGGGGTCGATCGCGCGGTTTAGTGTCAGACTCGTTCCCTCGAAGAGCAGGCGCTCGCGTATCTGCTCCGACGCTGTCCCCTCCAAGAGCTGATCGCGTATAGTCTTGTCAGCTACCTCTCCAAAGTTGCAGTCCGACGACAACTCACGAAGGGCGGCGGCGTAGGCTTCGAAGGCTTCACCCGGCATTTGACGGCGCTGACGAAAACGATGTCTTTCCATCAGTTCGTTCGTCGCAGTCGAGAAGTGGTTGTCCAACACGGCCAGTGCTTCGTCGAATACGTTCTTTTCGTCATGCCCTTCAGTGACTCCTTCCTTTCCTTTTTTTTTGATGACCGATCCCTTACAAAAATATGTATGGACACTTCTAGGACGTTCTATAGAGCACCGTCCATAGGCAGAACAAAAGGCGTCTATAGGAAGACCACGACCTCTGTTGCCTCCGTGAAGTCGTCCTATGGCTGCCCTATAGAATATTGGCCAACGGACGTTCTATGGACGTCCTATTCTATGGATGATGTGTGGTCATCCTATACCCTCTCTATGGTAAGACGCCATATAGGGTCCATAGGGACTCTATAGGGTGTCTACACAGGGTCTTTACGGTGTCTATAGGGTGCCTGCAGAAAACCCATAAGAAGTCTACAAGGAGTCCCTAGGGAGTCCACAGGGAAGCCATACAAGGTCTACACGGGGTCCTCATGGGGTCTGCAGAAAAGCCATACAAGGTCTACAGGGAGTCCCTACAGGGTCCGCAGAGAAGGCACGCAGTCTGCATGGGGTCTGCGACGGGGTCTGCGACGGGGTCCGCACCGACCAACGTTTCTAGAGCAAGTCAGTTGGGAAACGCTAAAGAGCTTGCTCTGAAAAAGCGGAACAGATCTATACTCGAAAACCCAACTAATTGCGATCGCATCGCCACCATTCCACCCGCAGCGGCCACTCGGATAACTGCACGACTGCGTGTGCTGGTTTGGGACTATCGATATTCGACAGCATGTGACTGTTCTGCTTTGGCTTGAATCGGCCACTTTGGCGCCGAAACATGTACGGTAGAAGAGGGGTTTCAGGGATGCCAACCCCCGTCTCCCAGGTGGACGCGCCGCGAATTGCAACCAAAGTTAGGACGCACCCAAGTCGAAACGTGCTACCTGAAGTCGCCGGTGAGGCATGGCTGTAAAAAGAAATATTAATTGTGCCGCAAAACCCTGTAAGCTAAAAGTGTATGCAAACATCACGCCCTTGTCATTTTGTACTATCTCCAATAAAGGTTTCTACAAAAAGAGCTTTTTCCCATTTGTTTTTACGCAAAAACGTGCTCTGTAAAAGTCATTTTAAAGAGTGTAGGGTCCTTAGGGGTCTGCAAAGAAGCCATAAAAGGTCTATAGGGAGTATGTACGGGGTTCACAGGGAAGCCATACAGGGTCTACACGGGCTCCTTATGGAGTCTGCAGAGAAGCCATACAGGGTCTGCACG